TAATACCATAGAATCAATGTAAGGAAGGCAAAATTGGTAATATTTGTAATTTTGAAGCCCTAAAACTGTAAGACATAGGAATTGTAATAAAGACTAAATATAAGAGAATGTGAGGTAATTTAGAAGACCTACATGGAAGCCACTTACAGCAGCCATCTAATTATCACAGAGGGTCCCTTCTACACAACCCCCCACATTCTGCATGTGAGTATATAGGGGATGAAAGATATATCTTGAGTCATGGACACATTAGGTAATGGAAACACATTCCTGAAAATGATACATTGGAATAAAGTTATACATAAATTGAGGTAGAAATATATAGTTTAATGAGATTGTAGGAGAGGATATTTTGTGTTATTATATTGTACATTATAATTCTGGGATTTATAAATTTAGATATTTTAACAAAATATACATATTTCTTCCTGAAAATGATTTATACTGGAAGAGTAGCTTAAAGGTCCAGAATAATTATTTAATATATCTTGAGATGTTGATACCTAAAACTATATATGACCTATTCCAGGGGTTGCCAAACTTTCTAAACAAAGGGCTGGTTTGCTGTCATTCAGACTTTAGGGGGGCTGGACTGTGGCCAGTGGAAGTAGAAAAATGTCCTGGCGTCATTGAAAGTATAGTGTTCCATCTTTGGCATTATGGGGAAGAATAGTGCTTCATTGTTGGTGTCACTGAAAGGCAGAGGGCCCTGTCATTGGTGTCAGTGAAGGAATATTGCCCATCATTGATGTAAGTAGGAGTAATAGTGGCTGAAAGGCCTAGATAAAAGTAAGCAAAGGGCCAAAGTTTGAAGACCACTGATCTATACACCCTTAATTACCTCCCCGTAATTAATAAACATTTCAGAACTATAGCAATGGAAAAACCTTCCCATTTCTATGTTAGGCAGGTGTGATTTGACTAAATTGGTTAGTTTGGCTAGTTTGCTTTATCCCATGTAGACAATTCCTCTACTGTTAACACAAATATATTAATGGATTAAATTAGGCCTTTTCTTTGTTTATATGTCAAGGTAAAGGGCCTAGAATTGTTCTGAAGAGATTACAAATGCTTAAAACATTCATTAAGTGTTAATCTTCCACATTACCCCTTGAAAGTGAATGAGAGGCCACAGGTAGCACTTAGCAGATGGTAAATGGTTTGCTGGGAACCAAAAAAAAATAAAAAATATTGACTCTACTCTACTCTAGACAAATTTTGGGTGACTAGATTTAGACCGTGTATGATGAATAAACTGGACACAGAAATAAGGAATATATGCATAAATTCTTTGATACCTGGTCTCACTATATGGATCAGCTTAGGGAAAAAATGACCACTTTTCAACACACAATATGAAAAAGCTAAAGGGTATTTTGGAATGTCGCAAAATAGTGTAGTAGTTTATTCTTCATTGTGTGCTAAAGTTAATTTGGTCAGCTTTTTATTATTGTTTTCACAATTACATCCTAACTATATAGCAAGTTAACAGTTAGGTAAGATTACTTAATTTAAGGAATCAGAAATATAGTTTTTTTTGGCTGCTGGTTGTCTTTTATAGATTAATTTTTCTAGGTGGAGCGGAGGTGCAGATGAGACAACTGTCTAATGAAATTATGCACACACACAAAAAAAAATATAAATAAATAAAATAAATATATATATATATATATATATATATAATATATAAAATTGGTTTGTGGCAGTATAGTACCCTACCACGGTCTAAGTGCGGATTATAACTCAGGATTCTCATCCAGGCAGGTTGAGGGGCTCCAGGGGGTTGGCCTAATGCAGAGGAAACTGGCTTTTCAGTTTCCGCATTGTTTTCTAAAATCTCCAGTCCTGGGTCTAGGGTTTGTGAACAGCCAGCACACTGATTACACAGGTGTGTGCAGGCCCTTTTTGTAGAGGCTCCACCCCAGCAGACAGGAGGTCCTTGCCCAGGAGTCAGAAGGGCTCCACCTAGGAGAGGTGGGAGCAAGAGCAGCAAGGAGCTGCTAGCTGTGTCCCTCAAAGAGCCATTTAGAAAAGAGTCTGCAGGAGACAGACATGGCCTGAAGTGGAAGGCCAGAAACAGCAGGATTGTATGTATAAACCAGGAGGCTAAAAGTCTGTGTTTGGAAGAGAGAAATGCTGAAAACTCCTGTGAGGGAAATCTGTGTGTTACATATAGTTACATAGTTAGTCTGGCTGAAAAAAAGACAAAAGTCCATCCAGTTCAACTATTAAAAAAAAAAAGTTACAATCCTATACCCACAGTTGATCCAGAGAAAGGCAAAAAAAAAAAAACCCCAGCAAAGCATGATCCAATTTGATCCTGCAGGAAAACAAATTCTATCCTGATCCCCCGAGAGGCAATTGGATATTCCCTGGATCAACTTTACCTATAAAATGTTTGTATCCAGTTATATTCTGTCACTAAGAAAGAATCCAGGCCTTTCTTAAAGCAATCCACTGAGCTGGCCAGAACCAACTCTTGAGGGAGTCTAGTCCACATTTTCACAGCTCTCACTGTGAAGAAACCTTTCCATGTTTGGAGATTACATTTCTTTTCCTCCAGACGTAAAGAGTGCCCCCTTGTCCTCTGTGAGGATCTCTACACCGAGGTCACTATATGAACCACTGATGTATTTATACATGTTGATCATATCCCCCCTTAATCTCCTCTTCTAAAGAGAGAATAAATTCAGTTCCTCTAATCTTTCCTCATAGCTGAGCTCCTCCATGCCTCTTATCAGTTTGGTTGCTCTTCTCTACACTTTCTCCAGTTCCCCACTGGTCTTTTTGTGAATTGGTACCCAAAACTAAACTGCATATTCCAGATGAGGTCTTACTAATGATTTGTACAGGGGTAATATGATATCGCTCTCTCTGGAGTCTATACCTCTTTTAAAACAAGAGAGGATTTTGCTCGCTATACAAGAGGATTTTGCGCAATGTGTTGGATTTATGGAACTTTCTTTTAAATAAAATTGGGCAAAAACGGCCCTGAAAAACAAGAAAGTGAGTGGTGGTGTACTTTAAAGCTCTACCCTTGATGCTAGTTCTCACAATATATATACAAATACACACACACATATTATATATACATACATACACTGCTCAAAAAAATTAAAGGACCACTTTGAAAACACATCAGATCCCAAATATCATGCTGGATATCGATACTGATATGGACTGGGTAATGAGTTAGGAACGTAAGGATGCCCCATCGTTTGATGGAAATGAAAATTATCAACCTACAGAGGGCTGAATTCAAAGACTTCCCAAAAATCTAAGTAAAAAATGATGCAGCAGGCTAGTCCATTTTGCTGAAATTTCATTGCAGCAAATCAGAATGGTACTTTAGTTTGTATACTGTAGTTTGTATGACCCCCATGTGTTTGTATGCATACCTCACAACTTCAGGACATGCTCCTAATCAGGCGACAGATGGTGTCCTGGGATATTTCCTCCCAAATCTGGACCAGTCCATCACTGAGCTCCTGGACAGTCTGAGGTGCAACCTGGCAGCGTCGGATGGACCAAAACAAGATATCACAGAGGTGTCCTATTGGATGTAGGTCAGGCAAGCGTGGGGGCCATTCAATGGTATCAATTCCTTCATCCTCCAGAAACTATCTACATACACTCGCCACAAGAGGCCGGGCATTGTCGTGCACAAGGAGGAACCCAGGACTCACTGCACTAGTGTAGGGTCTGACACAATGGGTCCAAGGATTTCATCCCGATACCTAAATGCAGTCAGGGTGCCATTGTCTAGACTGTTGAGGTCTGTACGTCCCTCCATGGATATGCCTCCCCAGACCATCCCTGACCCACCACCAAAACGGTCATGCTGAATGACGTTACAGGCAGCATAACGTTCTCCAGCTTCTCCAGACCCTTTCACATCTGTCACATAGCTCACGGTGAACCCACTCTTTTTTGTGCATGGGCTTTAGGAGAGGCTTCCTTCGAGGACAACACCCATGCATGCCATTCCTCTGCAGTGTATGCCGTATTGTATCACAGGAAACAAACACCCCAGTTTGGCTTTCTACTGCTTTAGCTAACTGCATTGAACTTGCGTGGGGATTTTCTTCAACCCTTCTCATCAGAAGATGATCCTGTCGAGGTGTTAACTTCCGTGGATGGCTTGAACGTCTCTGTAAGATGGTTGCAGTTCCACCTTTGTTTAATTTTTGTATCACTTTTGCTACAGGATTCTGACTGATAAGTAAGGCTTTGCTGATCTTCTTGTAGTATTCACCTTTCTTGTGTAAAGAAAATATTTACTTTCTCAGGCCTTGTGACATTTCTCTTCCATGTGGTGCCATTGTCAACGGAATGAAATGGAAGGGGTTTTCTTTAAGTAGCACCCTTTTATAATCAACTGTCTGCTGGACACCCGTTTAATGAAGAATTACACTTGCCCGTATTTTGAATTCTTAATTAGGATTTTGTTGAAAATTTTGCTTTACTCCTATGACTTTCATTGGCGTGTATTCATTTTTGCAACATGATCTTGAAGGAATTTGTTATTCTTTAGTAAATAGAAGCACCTTAAAAGCTATATTTTGCAATTTACACTTGTTCACCAGAGGAGTGTTGTTCAGGATGTTTTTCTTTGACCGCACAAACCTATAGATAGTATATGCATCTCCATCTGAAAACTCTTGTTTTCAAGATTTTCATACTTTGAGTCAGTGCCCCATAACAACCATGCAGTAAGTCAAGAAAATTACACCTATGCGTATGATATATAATATATATATATACTTATTCTAAAATGTATGGATCAGTATACTAGCCAGGCAAATATGATTTGAAAATACAGTGTAATGGTAGTTCAGGTCTTTTCGCATTATGTGTTTCCTTTAACCGCCTCCCGCCCGCCATGTAAGGAAATGACGGGCACAAGGCGGTTTTCTCGTTCTGGGAGGACATCATATGACGTCCTCCCACTCTAACCATGCACAGATCGGTGGTGTGATGTGTCCCTGGGACACAGCGGATCACCAATCAATGAAAAGAGCCGAAGACATCGGCTCTGTCATACGATCAGCTGTGTCCAATCACAGCTGATCGCATGTAAATAAGGAAATGCCAGTTATCGGCATTTTCTCTCCTCACGAGCTGTCATGCTGACAGCTCGTGAGCAGAGGAGAGCCGGTAATCGGCATTCCTCAGAGGGGACATGTACAATGATCATCAGGGCACTGATGATCAGTGTAGCCCCATCAATGCCACCCCTGCCAGTGCCACCTATCAGTGCCATATATGAATGCTACCTTTCAGTGCCACCTACCAGTGCCTCCTCATCGGTGCAGCCTATCAGTGCCCATCACTGCAGCCTCATTAGCGCACATCAGTGAAGGAGAAAAATCACTTATTTACAACATTTTATAACAGAAAGAAAAAATGTCTTTTTTTTTAATTTCAGTTGTTTTTGGTTTGTTTAGCAAAAAATAAAAAACCCAGAGGTGATTAAATACCACCAAAAGAAAGCTCTATCTGTCTCAAAAAAATTATACCAATTTCATATGGGTGCAGTGTTGCATGACTGCGCAATTGTCAAAGTGCGACAGCACTGAAAGCTGAAAATTGGCCTGGGCAGGAAGGGGGTATAAGTGCCATGTAGGCAAGTGGTTAAAGCTCTAACCCAAATAGCGATTAAACATACGATAGACCACATATGATAGTGGATCAGTAAATAATCAGAAAAGAACTTACTAACAACGGTTCAGCTGCTCATAAACGGCCAGACCAGAGGTACATGTACACAGGATATAAATAGCTTGGCACTTCCCTAGGGAAGTGCCAAGCTATTTATATCCTGTGTACATGTACCTCTGGTCTGGCCGTTTATGAGCAGCTGAACCGTTGTTAGTAAGTTCTTTTCTGATTATTTACCTACTTTAATAAACGATATCACACTATTTGAGGCCTTTTTCCACGGGCTCTTTATTTCTGGGGAGCCTGTAATTCTGAAGGTCCTGGGGCTGTGCTGAGCAAAGGACACATCTGCAAGTGACATCCCTGGATCCATGACACAGCTCCTCCTGGAACGGATGACATCTAGTGGTCGCCCTATAGATGACATCCGCCTGATCCTCTAATACAGTGGCTGGACTCAGCTTCCATCCGGATAGATGACATCTAGTGGTCACCCTATAGATGACATCTCCTGGCTCCAGTGATACAGTGGCTGAGCACCAGGGGCAGGTCTTAAATGCTCCATGCGCTTTAATATGCGCTATCTGGTTAGTGCATTATTTGGCTATTATCATTTCTGAAAGTCACTACTTTTGGTTCTTTACATATTGGAGACTGTATGCACTTTCAGCACATCTGATGAACTTACACTGACATTTTACTGATCCACTATCATATGTGGTCTATCATATGTTTAATCGCTATTTGGGTTAGCGCTGCACTCTCATTCTTTATCAATTACTTTGGAGGTTCCCGAGGTGCCTTTTTGTGCAAGCAGCTACCGTACTTACACCTATACACTGCGCTCGATTTTATATATAAGTTTATTTTAAGTGGTTAAAGCTGAATTCCAAGCAGCAATGAAAGACACAAATGTGTATTCTTTAATACATCATTAAATGTATGTTAGTGCAAGCAGTTTGTGCACCTTGGTTTGATCTGGTATAAGCTTCTTTCAACCCCTGTACAGCAGAGATTAGCCTGGAACAGAAAGAAGCAGCACAAAGAGCTGATCAGTTTCGTTACAGCTAATAAGAAGCATGCTGATAGGAGAAGAGAGCAAAGTGAAATATAAACATATCAGTCTACTGCTCCTTTCACTGTTCAGTTACAGGTTGAGAGCAACAAGGTCTGTGTTACTTAAGGTCTTACCAAACCTACAACAGTAAAATCAGTCTGTATATGCAGTAAAGCATGCTTGTTATACTCACTGAGGAACCTAAGGGGTTAATCCTCTGCATTGTGTAAAAATGCTGTTTGATCCTGACTTCTCTGAACCTCCCCTTCCTCCATTGTCCCCCTCTTATCTCCTGATAAGCCTCATCGTGTGGAGTCACTCTAGCAATACACACCAAACTGAGCATGTGCAGAGAGGGTTTTTTTTTTTTCTTGGGATAGTGTTTATGATCAGCACAGGGCCAATCAGCAGTGTCCAGACAGAGGTCAGGAGTTCTACATTCTCCTAGAGCAAAATGAAAACTCCTACACGCTTTAACCAGTGCTCTGCTGAATAAGACTGCTCTAACTTCTGATGAGAAAACGGTATTTAGCAGTTTATATTTACTAAAACAATAGCATTTCCATGTTCTGTGTACTGTGGGAGATCAGATATAGTGAATGCAGGGTCCTGGGTTTAGTAACACATTAAATGAAACAGAGAAACAGGTCTTCTGCCCTGCCATACAGGACTGTGATTGTACCAGAGCTCTGTAAATATTAGGAGTGGATGGACAGAAACCTTTGGCACATAAGGCAGTTTCCATATAAATGTCAACTGTGTATTTAGCAGTTTACATAGAATTTAGCTTTAGGAGTCCTTTTATGCATACAGTAAAACGTGTATAATGCAAGTAAAATGAAATGTGAATCGGCCTTAAAGTTCCACTCAAAAGAGGAATCTCCACTTATTTGCCCCCTCCACCGCCATAGTTGGAACCTTTTCAGGGGAGGAGGGAGTGGATATCTGGTTTTGACAGGTACTTGGTCCCACTTCTGGCTCAGTTTGCCGCAGCGAAGTGAGCTGGAAGTTCAGCCCCCTCCTTCCTCTCGAAGTCTCCTGGAACCTTTCACAGGTCCCAAGAGACTGCCAGACCAATTAGGAGGTGTAGCGTGACTTGCACATGTGCAGTGGGCACCAGGCTGTGAAGCTGCAAGCTGACACAGCCTTGTGCCTATAGCTGAGATGCTAGCTCCGTGGAGGGGAAAAAAGGAGAGAAGGGACCCCGTGGGTGAGCACATTGCTGGACTCTGGGACAGGTAAGTCTGTGTTTATTAAAAGTCAGCAGCTACAGTTTTTGTAACTGCTGACTTTTAATAAACACAAAAATGGCTGCAACTCCATTTTAACCACCTTCCGCCCGCCCTATAGTACAATGACGGGCGCAAGGTGGTTCTCTCGTTCTGATAGGACGTCCTTCCATTATCACCGCTCAGGGAGCGCGCAGAAATCGCCGGTGCGCTGTGTCCCTCGGACACAGGGGATCATGGAAAGAGCCGAAGATGTTGGCTCGGTCATGTGATCAGCTGTGTCCAATCACAGCGGATTACATGTAAACACAAAAATGCCGGTTATCGGCATTTCTCTCCTCTTGAGGTGTCACGCTGACAGCTTGAGAGGAGAGCCAGTAATCGGCTTTCTGCGGAGGGGACATGTACACTGATCATCAGGGCACTGATGATCAGTGTGGCCCCAGAAGTGCCACCTGTCAGTGTCCATCAGTGCTTATCAGTGCCAAATGCCAGTGCCACATATCAGTGCATACTAGTGCACATCAATGCCACATATCAGTGCCCATCTGAGCTGCCTTTCAATGTCACACATCAGTGCCAGTCAGTGCCACCTATCAATGCCAATCAGTGCCACCTATCAGTGCAGCCTATCAGTGCCAGTCAGTGTCGCCTATCAGTGCACATCAGTGCTGCCTATCAGTGCCAGTCAGTGCTGCCTGTCAGTGCGCTTCAGTGCTGCCTATCAGTGCCATATATCAGTGCTGCCTGTCAATGCCCATCAGTGATGCCTACCAGTGCCTCCTCATCAGTGCCACCTATCAGTGCCCATCACTGCAGCCTCATTAGAGCACATCAGTGAAGGAGAGAAAAATCACTTATTTACAAAATTATATAACAAAAACTAAAGAAAAAATGTTTTTTTCAAAATTTTCAGTGGTTTTTGGTTTGTTTAAGAAAAAATTTACATCCCAGAGGTGATTAAATACCACCAAAAGAAAGCTCTGTCTCAAAAAAATTATAACAATTTCATATGGGTACAGTGTTGCATGATCGCGCAATTGTCAAAGTGCGACAGCGCTGAAAGCTGGAAATTGGCCTGGGCAGGAAGGGGGTATAAGTGCCCTGTAGGCTAGTGGTTAAAGGAACTCTGCAATGAAACAAGATGTGAGCTGCCATTACTGACCTTATCGTCAAAACGCTATCTGCCTGCCTATCTATAATGTCAGTAATATATTGAGTTACTGGTACAAAACAAGCACACAAGCGAAGACAGAAGAACATCTGATCTGCATACTCATGATGTAGTAGTGATTTAGGAAGGGCTGAAACCAATGGACCAGCATAAGAGCGAGCTAACTAACTTAGAATGCATGTATGTAACCACTTATCTAAAAATGCAACACAGAAACAAAGTCATGAAGCAGGCAACAGGGTCACTAAAGAGACTACTCACTGCCTCTAATGACCATTTCTTCTTCACTGGCCTAACTACAGAATCCCAGCAATGCAGTGACACCTTGCTGACTTGACCAGTGATACAGAGACATTATAAAAGGCAGGTGAGTATCCTTGCTGCCCTTTTAACAATCCAGTTGCTTGCTTCCAGCTACAGGATTGCTAGTGTAACATGGGCCTAAGAGAACACTGAATTAGACAGTAGCCCAATTAGAAGGCTCCACGGAATGCAGATACTGTTAGGAGTCTTAGACCTAGTACACAGGATGAGAAAATCAGATGAATGATCGTACGTGGTTTTTTTTTTTTTTTTTGCATGCACTCTCATATCAAATACAAGAGCGCTACTAAACATATGAAAATTCTCATACAATCCAGTACAACTTCCTCTGTGTGTCGCAATGTAACAGCATGTAACCGGAAGAGATGTCATGTATGTGTGATCATTCTGCAGACGATTACCAAATTGTAGCATTAAGATTATCACTTCATTATCACTATTGCACATATTACTATCCTGAAACAATATATATATTTTTTTGCATTTAGGAGCATTTTTATTGTAAACAAGGATTGCTTGCATTGCCCTTTCTCCTTCTGGGTTATTTTCATGTATCCAATTATGCATGCTCTTGGTCAGTCAATTTTTTTTACAGATGAATTCTGTACTGATTAAACCCTTGTTGCCGGTGCCTCCCAGCCCTTTAAGTGGTTTCAGATGCTGAGAGGCAGGGTTTGTGATCATGTGACTGCCGTTTTTGGCTGTCACAATGGTCACATGATCGAAAAGCTCCAGATTGCAATTAGCGATCGGGAACTTTCCGTTAGCTACCAAGAGCTAGGCCGAGAACGTGCACAGGTACTGCACAGTTCTGGGGTTTTTTTTGGGTACACATATACCCGGCATCTCGTCATTAAGACCTACCTGCCGAAAGGCCACATATATGCATGCAGCCAATGGGAAGAAGTTAAAGGAAAATCATTTATCTTATGAGAAAAATTTTCATGCTTGCCCCTTTCACATGAACTCTTGTGATTGGCTCTCAAAAGCTGTGTACTAACGAATAGATTATCGGGTGATTGCTCCAAAAGTGAGTTTTTTTTCCCCATCCAATTTTCTCATCACATGCATTAGGCATAAAGCTGGCCATTCTCTGGCTTAACGGGAAAAAATAAATTGACGACAAGACCCACAGACGTCAGAATACACTAGTCAATAGCTGCAGCCACTGTTTGAAAAAGTTTTCCAGCATGTTCCTTCAACAAAATTCAATCAAAATGACCGTCTGTCAAGTAGGGATGACAATACTGGTCAAAATTTGGCCAGTAGATGCTGAACATTGATCTGACACTGAGAGGTGGAGATTTAGTTGTACAACATGAAAGAGATTAAGATCACTAATATTACTATTTAGCAAGGCCTGACTAGTAAGGAAAAATAAAAAAATATAATAAAACAAATGTCGCTGTAAAAATATAAAATTTAGCTTACCTTAAAAGTGGGCTGTGTCAGTCAGTAGAGCAGGGGGGCAGTGTCAGCAGAGCAGTGGATGGTGTCAGTTGTTTTATTTTTTTTACAACTTTATTAAAAAAATTTTTAGCAGCCCTGTGGGAGGGGGGGGGGGGGCTTTGGTGAAATATCAGGGGTCTAAACCAGGGGTAGGCAACCTGCGGCTCTCCAGCTGTTGCAGGACTACAAGTTCCATCATGCCTCTGCAAGTCATAGCTGTAACTAAGTTTTGTAATGTTGCAATGCCTCATGGGAAATGTAGTTCCACAACAGCTAGAGAGCAGGTTGCCTATCCCTGGTCTAAACAGATCCCTGATGTCTCACTTTTGAGACAGTGAAAGGAGAAACAATCCCCATTCTCCATCTCAGCTGCACCACATGAATGCACAGGAAGAGCTCTGCAGTCTCCCTGTTCATTTACAAATTGAACCATAGTAAGTACAGCTTACTATGCTTCAGTAATGAATGCACACAGTGAGTGATCAGTACCAGTCACTCACTGTGTTCATTCAGGATATATTTAGTCACTTTTACCCATTCTCCATCCTGAAACAATCCCCTTCTGGGGCCTATGTGCTCTTGGGGAGATCTCCCTTGTCATGCTCCACTGTGGGTATGGTGTTCTTTAGATGATGTGCAGTGGTGTTTTTGCGCCAAACATATCTTTTGGAAATATGGCCAAAAAGTTCAACCTTGGTTTCATCAGACCAGAACACACTTTCCAACATGCTTTTGGGAGACTTCAGATGTGTTTTTGCTAAATTTAGCCGGGCTTGGATGTTTTTCTTCGTAAGAAAAGGCTTCTGTCTTGCCACTCTACCCCATAACCCAGACATATGAAGAATACCGGAGATTGTTGTCACATGTACCTCACAGCCAGTACTTGCCAGATATTCCTGCAACTCCTTAAATGTTGGCAGACTCACAGACCAGTTTTCTTCTGGTCGTTTCATCAATTTTGGAGGGAAGTCCAGTTCTTGGTAATGCCACTGTTGCGCCATATTTTCTTCACTTGAGGACTGTCTTCACTGTGTTCCATAGTATATCTAATACCTTGGAAATTCTTTTGTACCCCTCTCCTGACTGATATCTTTTAACAATGAGATCCCTCTGATGCTTTGGAAGCTCTCTGCGGACCATGGCTTTTGCTGTAGAATGCGACTAAGAAAATGTCAGGAAAACCCTACTAGAACAGCTGAGCTTTATTTGGGGTTAATCAGAGGCACTTTAATTGATAGCAGGTGTGTACTGATTCCTATTTAACATGCTTTTGAATGAGATTGCTTCTGAACACAGCTACATCCCCAGTTATAAGAGGGTGTGCACACTTATGCAACCACATTATTTTAGTTTATGTTTACTCCCCCCCCTAAAAGATTTCAGTTTGTTTTTCAATTGAGTTGTACAGTTTATAGGTCACATTAAAAAGGTGGAAAAAGTTCTGAAATTATTTCTCTTTGTCATTTTGCTTACATCACAGAAACCTGACATTTTAACAGGGGTGTGTAAGACTTTTTATATCCACTGTATACACATTTGGTTTATGTTGTTTTCTTGTGAACGCCAGAGGTATATTTAAAGTTCTATCCATTACCTATTCCAATTGATCCCCCACAGCAGCTGGCAGGAGAGGAGAGGAAGCAGGCTGCGCTGCTAGGAGGGGGAAGGGAGGAACCGCACATGGGCAGGGATGGCAGGCAGGGGCAGGGGCAGCGACAGCGTTTACTGGAACAGATCTCCTGTTTTTCCCTCCTTCTGGAGGAAATGATTGGAGGAGAAGCCAGCTTTCAGCTGCTGCAGGTTCCCAGGGTTCAGCAAAGAGGGGACATGATCTACCCATTACCTTCCTGCGAGTGGTGGGTAGATCTCAATCAATAGGTTGCCAACTCCCAGTCTAAATGCTTTTAGTGGAATGGATCATAATTTGCAGTCATTCAACTTGGCTTAAAGAATATGTAAATCCAACATTTCATATTCCTGGTATGTGCCTGCTGTACCCTATACTTGTATGAAAAAGTATCCTGTTCTCTTTGTTTCCTTTATGTGAAATACCTGGTGATCCTGCCTGTCCCTGTGCTTCAGTATTAAAGACTGACTACACTAGGCATGAGAACAAAGCATGGTTAGTTCTTCAGCTTTCATTGGAACTCCATGTGCTCTCCTCCAATGATCAGACTTCTGCTGAATCCCCCACCCTGCACAGTCTTTCACTGGGAAGATCAATTTTTTCTGTTTCTCCTCCCCTAGCTCTTATGCAGCTGAAAACAGGTGGTATGTGATCAATTAAAAAAAAAAAAAGGGGGGGGGAGGAAGGTGTATATCATGTTTTTTACATCTATACACAAATGTTTTGCCTTTCATTTCTATTTTAAACTGAATGAGTTGTTTAACAAGGTGAGGGTTTCCTAGCATTCAATGCTGTTATCCACTATAACCAATTCAGAGTACTGAAATGAGGATCAATTGTAACAAAAAAAAAAAAAAAAAAACACATACTTTTCCCCTCTGAAGGTGTTCATTTTCTGCTCAGTACACTAAAACGGATGGACTTGGAATACATGTCTAAAGGTAACATTCTATTTTGGATTCCAGGTAAGGGACACAAAGTATTGAAGCAAGAGGGTAAACCTAAAACAAGTGGGTTGCTTCCATTTGCTTTTCATTTTGCAAATGCTAGTTTCCTGACTGTTATGAGTCTGCTTCAGTCCAGAAAGATTATTTGTTTTAAGAATATATTCCGTACAGTAGTTTCTGTCTACCTCTTCTAACCTTTGTAGGCACCAGAAAGGTTAATATAGAGTGGTAGGTTTGCCTTTAAATAGGAAGAGGGAAGGGATGCTGGTTAGACTTGTACAGGAACCAGGCGCATGCGTGGTGTGAACTGTATGTTCTGCCTGTCAGTGGCGGAGCTTGTGCTTGGAGTTACCAGAGGTTTTTGAGGCTTGCTCCGGCCAGCGAGCCTGCACCATCCAAGCATCAAAGCACCAGCATCCATCCAGGCCTCACAAGCGGATGAGATGGGACATACATGTTTAATGCTTGAAAACGTCACGGTCATGTGAGTGCATTTATACTGGTTTTATTTTCTCTTAATAAAAAAAAATTACACTAGGGGGCACTCGCGCTCTTTTTGTGTTTTGGTTTCTCAATTGCTCCTGCCGCCCAGGGAAAATTTTGAGGAGCATCAGCCACTATTCTGGACTGTTTTATACTCTGGACTCTTTTAGTGAGCGGAAGAGGTTTAATGGGGCTAGCGTAATCACTATTAGATTTCTTTTTTTGATTTTGCACTTAATGACAGCCTTCATGTCGCTCTTAGAACGGTATCCTTTAATGTTTAAGCAACCATTAGTGACTGAAAAGGGCATACTGTTGTAGAATGAAAAAAAAAAAAAAAAAATTCACATAAAAACATTTCAAATGTAACTATCAACCAGATATTATAACCTCTGTCACAAGGCTTCTTTTTCTAGTATGGAAACTCATTGCATAAAGATGGCTTTCCCCCAATCCCCCTAAATGTTAATTCTGGAAATCACTTGTTAATTCCATCTTATCCTGGGAAAAAATAAACTTTAAAGGAAGTGAGGTGGATGGGGAAATCTTTCCCGCTGCGCTATTGTTTGAGAGGAGTCGATCATTGTATTGACTCCTCTTGAACAGGACTGAACTAGCCAAATTTCAATCCATATATGGCCAGCTTAAAGTGGAGCTCCACTTTAAGGCCTCCTCCCCAGCTCTGGGTACCTGATTTTGACAGGTACCCACTCCCACTTCCGATCTGCCTCTGCAATCGGAAGTCCCGCCCCACCCCCTCCTCCCTGCATTCTTCTAGGGCACATGACCGGGTCCAGAAGACTGTGGGACCATTCACAACATGCAGCATAGCCCCTGGCACCCCCTTTTAATTTTCAGAAAACCGACTGGTGCTCCTCTAAGTATTAACTCTTTCAATGGAAGTTGCCTACTGCTTTTCATGGGAAGGTGAACATCATCTGTTGAGATCTTTTTTGGTTATCTTCTTCTGTTTGTATAGCAAAATAAAAAAAAAAAAAAAAAACTACTTTAAAACCTCTTCAATAAAAATTACCTGGTTTAAAAAAAATAAAACCTTATTCCATAACTAAATTATACATTGTTTTTATAGTTTATACTGTAGTTTGTAGTCTAGTCCTACATATGTGGTAGAAAATCCCTTTGTCAGCTTCTTCTTACCTTTTCTACTAACGGTATTAATTGTTGGTGTTCTGCCAAAGTTTTTAATAACTCCATAATGAATGGAAGATAGTTGTGTTTCCGTCTGATATTTTCAATCTGGAAATAGCAAAATACAAAAAAAAAAAAAAAATACATTTTAAAAAGGTACAACACAAAAAATGTATTTCTATACTAAAGCGGAACTAAAACCTCTTATACTTAAGGCCTTGTTCATACCATACGTGCAGAAAAACTGAAACGGACACACAGATTTCACTTACAGAGACGTCAGTTTACATCGGTTTTTCGTGTGCGCTTCAATTAATTTTATACACATTGCAGATTCTTGCGCAGAAAAAAATTTGCACGTGATACTAGTGTTGTGGTGTGAACAGGGCACACAGAGAAATGATTTTGTTGTGCTCTTGCAGAACACGTGCGGAAAGACTGACATGTCTGCATCATGGTGTGAACGAGCCCCTACAGTCAAGGAAGCTGCCATCTTAGCCTCTGTTTGATCTGCGTTCCCCATGGTGCTACACATGTGATCAGTTATGACACCAATCACTTGATGGCTTGACAATTAGGTTGAAAGAACAAGCAGCTGTGACAATTATCATTCCTGGCATGCCCTGATTGCAACGGTTTTGGGAAATCATTAAATTTAGTTTCCCTTTAAAAAAACTTAAGTTGGTCCTATTCTACACAGAAAGAAAAGATCTGCCTACAAAATAAAAGAAATCATGTTAACTAAACAAACTGTCTTGCAATCTATGGATGATTTTCTACTAAGGGTATAATCGCTTTACTTTAAGACTCCTTATTGCTGGAAAGTACCAGCAAGACAGAACAGACAGCAAAGGACACAGAGGAACCTGACATAGGTCATATTTTACATGTGCTGTAAGACTGTAGAAAATGTTGCAGAAGTATCACTCATGCCCCAAGTACAGACTACTTCAAACTTCCATACAATAAAACAATGGAAAAAAATAGCTTAACCAAAATTCAAACCTTGAAAAATTAATTTAGGTTTAACCATTTGCTGTTCGTGGCAATTTTTTTTTTTCCCCACACACAAATCTTAAATCAGCATTTTTTGCTAGAAAATTGCTTAGAACCCTAATTATGTTATGTTTTTTGAAGGCAAAGGCCCTGGAAAATAAGATGGTGGCCACTGCAATTTTTTTCATAATATTTGTGCAGCCATTTATCAAATGCATATTTTTAAAAAAATGGATTTTAGTGTACACAAATACAAAATAAATGCCTTATTGTTTGGTAAAATACAAAATATGGAGTTGCACTGAGTAAACAGATACCAAACATATAAAGACCTAAAATTGTGACAAACTATGTTACCTAAAATTTTTAATTGTTGACGCTTTAAAAGCCTTTACCGGTGATCAGTTTAGTAATAACCAAAAATTATGGTACTAAAATTCCTTTCTCCCACTCCAACGTTCACAGCAATTCCTCACATATGGTGGAATCACTGTTTACATATACGCACATGCAGGACCTACACACATTCACATCTGCATATAGGCTTTGGGGGTTGGGAGAAACAGAGGTGCTGAACTGAACAGGTGATCTTGGGCTGTAAAAAAAAATTAAACTAAGCTCATAGCAGCAGCTACAGCCACGAGCTTATTTTAACCACTTCAAGTGTAAGATGTGAAGTAGTGAATTAAAGTGATAGAATATGAGATAAAAGTACCAATAACCTTCTTCTCCAAGTGTATGTAAAGACATTTTTTTAAATGTTCATTGAAGAGCATATAAGGGTTAGACCTCCGGTAAAGACCACTGGCACCAGAGTAGAAAGTGATTAAAAAGGTGGGCATACACCCAATGGAGTCTTCATGGACTGGATTATGTTATGCCAGTGGGTGTATTACAGCCCAAAACCTTTAAAGTGTACTGAGGCCAACACAGTACACCAGGTGTTTGCCGTAAGCAGAGCACAGTGCCTTAAAGTGTTACTAAACCCATGACCCTGCATTCACTAGTCTGGTCTCCCACAATACAAAGAACATGGAAATGCAATTATTTTAGTATCTATAAACTGCTAAATACCTTTTCCCATTAGCAGTTAGAGCAGTCTTGTGACTTCTATCACTGTCCAGCAGAGCACTGGTTAAAGCTTGTAGGAGGAGTTTTCATTCTCGTCTGATTGTCCTATGAGGCTCCATAAATGCTATATAAATGGCAGGAACTGTAATTGTGGTCCTTAATTAGTGGGCCATTAACAATGTTTGAGAGCACCAGCAGTGTCTATTGTGTTGTGGACTAATGTGCTGCTGTGGTACTGTTTATGTCCACAAGATGGCGTCTGTTGAGGTACTGAGCATGTGCAGTTTTTTGTCTACAAGATAGTGTGTTGAGAAACTGAGCATGTGCGGGGGCCATTTTAATGGCCTTCTCTATATATAGAGGTGAAACAAATGGTAGGTGCCATTTTGCCACCATGTGCAGCTGAGCACAACTTCCAGCCACTATATAACCTATTTTAAATTCTTTATACTCCTGACAAAGCTCTGTGTTCTGGAGCGAAACATGTAGAGATTCTTTTTTTCTTTGGGTCTTTCTTTGGGAGCAGAGCACTTTTTCAATGCACATGGTATGCGCTGCTCTCCTCCCTTTTTTTTGGAGAGGTCTGTACTGCATTTTACACAGTGAATCATTTGCTTTTCTGAAGACAGTTAAGTAGTTTTGGTGGCTATGGTGATGTATAGGGCTTATCCATGGGAGGCTGACATTTAAGCCTGTGAGTGTATCCTTATTGCATATCTGTAGCAAGATAGATTATACTATCTAATTAGTTTTGTCCATGGGGTAACCCCATTTCCTTAACAGAGATTATATATTCAAGCTGATAGGCTTATGATCAAACTACAGTGCCTCTTTCTATGCTGTCACTTCCTCTAAAACGATATGGTATTTGATTTGGTCTGGTGTTATTAACCATGTGGATGTAAGGTAAATAATTGCAATGGTATCCAGTTATATTGTTGTGCGCAGTACATTACACTCCAATAGGCATTAATTACAGCTGAGCATACATTTTTTATCAATTTGAATAAAGGTTATATTTTAGATTCATCAATTGGGCAGATGGTGCGTAGGGAAACACACCCTCGTCCAGTATAGATTTATATTTTAATGAGGAATCTTGACTGAATAAAAAAAATCTTTAAAAAAATGGAAAAATGTCAAGTAAAATGGGTCTGCTTTCCTCTGAGAATTCCTAAACACTAGCAAGAAACACATACACACATCTATACAGCCCTATGAAAAAAAGTTACAGTACCTTATTTTCACGCAGACAGCTGGGTACTGTAATCTACGGGGAGGCAGAAACCACAGAAGATACTCCCCTTCCCTTTGCCTACACTCTTCTCAGCAGTCTGACAACTCCCAGTGCCGACGTACAGTGCGGCTGGGTATCAGGAGCTCAGGTTCAACTCATAGCCTCTCTCTGCCAGGCCACCACGGCACCCATGAAGACCTCTGATGGCACCCCCCCGGTTGAGAAAGGCTGCTTTATACTTTAAGTATACAAGTTAACAACAGCCTTTATGGCTTTTCTTCCAGATGGAGATACTGATATAGAAATTAAAGCCTTCTCTGAGAAGCTGTCCTCTCTATCCAATGAGGAGGAAGACATTAGAATAAAATTTAAACACAAAAATTTAACTATTAAACATCTCAACCGTAATTGGGATATGTGCTTCTTAGAAGCATATATTAAACAAAATATTATCCTCTGTGGATTAAGAAGTAGAGTAGTGCCTGCTGAACATCTTCACAACAAACATTTTTTAATGTTTTGGAAGGCACTGTGTATAGAAAAAGGGATCACCGCCAGTATGAAGGTAATTGTTGAGGAGAAACTCCATCTTCAAGAATTAAATTCAGCAATTGAGGAGAGTTCCAAAAATTCAGAACCATATAAAACCAATGAGAGTTTTGATAAATATAATGAGATTTTCAAGGAGGATGCAGATTAAGTAAAGAAAAACTTAAAAGCAACCAGTCTAAATTTAGGTGTGATCTGAAAGATTGGGAAACAGTTGAAATCTGCCATTTGTCTTTGCATAGGGGAAGAAGTCGCTCGAGAGGTAGAATTTCCCATTCAGAATCTAGATCAGTAGGAGATGGTCCCTCCATTCAAAGTGATAGTGACACTCAAACTAAATCAGTTTATTTTTTATAACTGGGAGAGAAGGGGGAATTAACATCAAGTCAAGTGCAGCAGGGAAAGAAAATACAAAATCAACAGAAGAAAAGAGGAGAGGGCCCAAAAGGACAAGGGTAAGAAATTCAGGAAGAAAAAGGCAGGACAAGTAGTCAAAATAAATATTAAATTCCCCATGTGAAGATCATAAAGTAATTAATTTGTCAGATTTTCCCCTCAAACAGAGACATATTAGTGTGTAGAACAAAGGGATGTAATTTTCGCTGACAATAAAGATGAATGAATTTGATATCTTTAAAGATATCAATTTATTCCTAGGAAAAGCTTATTCAGACTTTTGTATGATAAAGGTGAAGAGAACTCAGAACAAACAGATGGGAAATCAAAAGAAGATACTGAAGCATTAGACATATTAATGTCCTTGTATGAGGAAGGAAATTGTGAAGAGGGATGCAGTAAAGAACAAAATATTGCAGCTTTAGGAGAGCTGATCTGAAGCTAAAATCCAACAAGATGCCCATTTTCAGAAGCAATTGGATGGATTGGTCTCTTTTTGAATTCGCTATCCACTGATTTAAAACAATTAAAATTGGGATAAGCCAACATACGAAAAATTAACCAAGGGAGAAAGGAATTAAAAGGAGCTAAGGGACGCCGATAATATAATCATAAAATGAAGTGACAAGGGGGCAATGTAGTTATCCATAATGAAGAGCACTATGTAAAAGAGGTTAAACGTCAACTAGGTAACTTCAATACATATCGCAAATTGGCTGAAGACCCCTTTCCTACTTCAGTTAATAAAAACTTAATTTTAAATTCGATCTAGCAAGAAAAGAAGGCCTGCTTACTAAGAAAGAATATCTTTCTGAAAGTAGAAGAGTATAATAACCAAATTTTCTATGTGATCCCTAAA